GTCTTCAAATACTTCATCATATTTGCCTATAATAAAATAGAATTTTCCTCAGTAACTTAATTCGTCATATTCACCTATAATAAAATAAACCTTTTCTCACTATTCTAATACAGTAATATTAAATTTCTCTGAAAACTAAATGATGAATTAAATTTAAAAAAACATATCATACTTACAACCCCTTCACTAATTTATAAACCATTTTATGCTTATACGTCGTTTGGTTTAATTCATCCAAGTCAGCGATTGATTCATTATACCTTTTCATTACATAATTAATTTCTTCTTGCTATTGTATTAAATGGTTCAATTTCTAGCAATCTAGTTAAGTCTTTGAATGCTTCATCATATTTGCTTATAATAAAATAGAATTTTCATCAGTACTTAATTCGTCATATTTACCTATAATAAAATAAACCTTTTCTCACTATTCTAATACAGTAATATTAAATTTTCCCGAAAACTAAATGTTGAATTAAATAAAAAAAAATTTAAAATGCATATCATACTTACAACCCCTTAACTAATTTATAAATCTTCTAAATGTTGATTACCTAAGTTGACAACATTTTTAGTATAAAATACTATGTTATTTCTAAAATTTAGATATCATCCGATTATATTACCAATAGTATATCTAGAGTCTTTTGGATTACCATTATGGCCCATCATTTCTTGAACAAAAGAATATCCATCATCGCCATGGCAACCATGTCCCATGATTCACTTTCCTAGTTTCCTGTCCTAAAAGATACTGAGATATAATATAGACGATAATATATAGTACTATAGTAATAAGAAAATAAAATGAAAATTCGCTATTACCAGCATAAGCATATTACTTATATAATTTGAATCGTCTATTTTTTTATCACTTTGCTTTGTCAATATCCGATTCTAAACATTCTATTAAAAAAATTTTCACTTCAAACATGCTTATTTTACAATGGATTATTTAGTGGATTATTAAGCTAAATGCGCAAAAGCTTTTCACAAAGGTATGAAGTTTAAAAGCAAGTGAGGTTACCTTCTTACTTTTTAGCTTGTGTATAAAAGATTCTTAGATTTTGGGTTTCATCTACTTCTTTAGTGAGCATTCACTCGCGTGGATTATTGTAGATTATTTAAACTAGAGGTCTTATACCATCTACTTGTGTAGTTTTTCAATAATGAATTAAAGAATAAAAAATTTCTGAAAAATGCTGGCAAAAGGGTGCACAAGAGCCAATCAAATTCGAGAATCAATGCATAGATCATTCTAGAACCCGATGTCCTAATTCGGTATATTCTAGATCTATGTTATTCTAATTTGGTATATTCCTTGACTGTAGTCAGCCAAGCTGATTTTTCAAAAAATCAGCTAAGTCAGCTAAGCCAATTTTTTGACTAATGTGAAATCGACTACAAACACTATTTGCTATTTCCACTATTGGTTATACAAAATTTTCTATTTTTAGTATTTATATAGTAAGTTTTTTAAAAATTAAGAAAGTTTTTAATAAGTAAACATTTCTTCTAGCTTTAAGTAAACTTGTAGAGAAGATTTTTCTGGTTCTAATAGTGGTTAAATCATCAAAATCGGCATGGTGGATCCCAAGATATTTGGGGTTAAAGGCGCCAACATAAAGATCTACAAATTCACTGTTACACAAAGTATTATAGTCTATAATACTTATATTCGCGCCTTTAACCCAAATATCTTGGGATCCACCAGGCCAATTTTAATGATCTAACCACCATTAGAACCAGAAAGATCTTCTCTACAACTTTACTTAGAGCTCAAAGAAAGGTTTACTTATTAAAAATCTAACTTTAACTTTAATTATTTTAATTTTAACCCTAAAGCTAATAAGTAAACCTTTCTTCAAGCTCTAAGTAAAGTTGTAGAGAAGATTTTTCTGGTTTTAATGGTGGTTAAATTATTAAAATTGGCCTAGTGCATTCCAAGATATTTGGGTTAAAGGCGTGAATATAGTATTATAAACTATAATACTTTGTGTAATAGTAAATTTGTAGATTTTTATGTTCGCGCCTTTAACCCCAAATATCTTGGGATCCACCAAGCCGATTTTGATGATCTAACCACAAGTTTACTTAAGGCTAGAAGAAATATTTACTTATTAGTGTAGGGTTTGGGTTAGGGTTAGTGTTAGGGTTAAAGGTTAGGATTAGTGTTAGAGTTATGAGTTTTTTATATTATTGTCCAAAAATAGAAAATCTTGTGTAACCATAGCGTAAATAGCAAATTACCATGGTGGAAATAGCAGCTCCCTAAATTTAATATTATAAATCTACTAATTACTTTACTAATTAGTTTAATTAATTAATATTATTATATTAATTAAAATTTAATATTTAAAAAAAAAAAATACCGAGTTAGAGTCTCATAGCCTAGTAGTTTAGGTGCCTAACTCTTTATAGACAAGATTAACGGTTCGATTATAGCTAGTAGTAATTAATTTAATTAATTATCTCTATAACCTTTGGGAGCTTTCAAATACGAAACCCTATAGTGCTAAGACTATATAATATACATATTTGGCCTATAAAAAATTCTTGGAAGGAGCTCCGAGCTATAAAGAAGTCTGGACACTGCATGTGATATAAGTCACAGAAGATTTATTGCAAAAAGCTGTGTGTGTGAATTTATAATTGACAAGGTAATACCAACTAGTACTTGGATCCGGATACTAAACCGGATATCCAGATAGATATCTTATTTTATTTTTTCCAATCCGAATTTATATCCGGATATGTGTTAGTTATCCGGTTTATAATCCAGATTGTATCCGGATTTACAGTTATTCTAAATTCTGGGAACTTAAAAAAATTTTCTCAAAGTTTTCTTGCTTCGTTCAGTAAATTACCTAACTTATAGGAAACTACATTGCTATCTCCAGACTGAAGGTTTAAAAATAGCGATGTAGTTTTCAGAGAGTTAGGTAATTTTAATGAACAAAACAGAAAATATTCAGCAGATATCTAATTGGGTATCTGGATAGTATTCTGTTTTACAATCATTATCATAAATTCTTGGACATCTAAAAATTTTCTTGTTTTCTTAATCTTATCTGTTTCATTCAGTGAATTACCTAACTCTCTGGAAACTATAGCTTGGAGGCAGCCAGACAAAACAGAAAAGATTTCAGGAAACGAGAAAATTTTAGGTTCCAAATTTAAAATTTAAACTTCTCTGATTGGCTGATATTGTTAGCATATAATATTCAGATAAAAAACCGGATTTATAATAACTAAAATAAAAATCTGGATTTATTATCCGCTTTACAAAACTAAAATCTGTTATTCTTTTTATATCTGAATATATCCGGATATTGTAATCCGGATCCAAGCACTAATACCAACAACTCTAAGATGGCATTGAAATTTTGATTAGAAGGACAGATATATGCAGTATATTTAGAAGTGGTGAGAGAAGTGGTAAACATAGCAAGGGTTGTAGTAAGAGGATGGCTTTACCAAATATAAAACACCTCTGGCGCAAAGAAACAAGGAAAACTAGCTAAAAGAAACCTCGAAGAGCATGGAAACAAGCAATCCGGTAGTACAAAAATAAAGACAGCCAGGAAGTAATATATTACACAACCAATATGGAAGTCAATAATAAAATATGGCAGAAGTGCGGGTCCTGGGTCACTGGCTTGTGATAGTGATTAAATGAGAAACACAACTCCCGTTCTAAGAATCTAAATTTCTGTAATACTATACTAATAGAGAGTACTATAAAAGAAGCAGTAGCCTAATTTGGTAGTGTATAATGCAAATATCTAAATTAACATGAAATAACATCCTAGTTTGATACAGACAACTGTTGAGATATGGCTAGGCTCTTAATGTAGCTTTCCAGGAACACCAAACTGGAAGTATAAAAAGCGCCCACTTGAAAGACACCAATTTGAAAGTAATACAAGACCCAAATTATGAATAATATGATAAATGATGAGGGGTAAAAGTTATATCAACAAAATTTATAACTGTAATCTTACGTAAGATATTATGGCTCATAATATTGCGCAAGAATTACGGTCTAAACATAATATTGCGCAATTTATTACAGAATATTACGCAATTTATTACAAAATATTATGCAATTTATTTAAAATTTGGCATACCTCTAATCATATAATCAATCAAATTCGAGTTCAATATCAATGACTTTCAATAATTTAACTACACCACAGTACACACTAATTATATAATTGCATAATTCGATATTTTAACCAAAATTAATTTATTTGAATATTAATTATATTATCGGGATGTTATATAAAAATTTTACAAATTATTGCCTCATTATCAAATAATCATTATTTATTATAAAATACTTTCATAACACTTATTACGGCCTTTAACAATTCTACTGGCTATACATAACAATACACATCCTATATACTACTAAATACAGCTTGCATTACTTCGCTTACACTTAGCAACACCTATAATATAAGGCTTGGTTCGCTCACCCTTTGCTACGGCTGTTGCCTCTGCTTCACTCCTTTTTCTAATCATTCAATAACCCCAATTTTCATCAATATCATCATGAATACCAAAAGCCCAGGACAAAAAAAACTCAACAATAAAATTATGACAACGTACCAAAATTCACTACCAACAAGCAAATTACCAAATCATGACAACAGAGCTATGAATCTAACTAAAAATGAAAATAAAGCCACAAAACCAAACTCTTAGAGCCTCAAATGCAAATTGATAAAAGCTGAAAAGAAGAAAGCTAATAGTCAGAAAGAAAAGAACATTAGCTAAATACACCTAAACAAGAAGCAAATAGAGCTATATTTCCGAAAAAGGCCCAGAGACGCCACTCATAACACTAGGAAAAAAAAGAAAGATAACGTTGTTTGAAAACTAGAACAAACTATTTAGATAACGAAATCTATGTGTTTACAGAGTGAATTACTGAATTATAACAACAAAGCCATGAAGCTAACAAACTCACCATTGAAAACAAAGACCAAATCATGATGAAGCCACAAAACCAAACTCTTAGTGCCTCAAATAGTGAATCGATAAAAGCTAAAAAGAAGAAAAATGATAAAGAGAAAAGAACATTAGCAAAATACAAACCAAAACAAGAAGCAAATAAAACTATACTTTCTGGAAAAGGCTAAGAGACACCACTCATAACACTAAAGAATGCATTGGTGAAGTGGTTAAAAACTGGAGCAAAACATTTGGCAAATGAAATCTACACCAGAAAACAAGAACGAATAGTGAAAAATCATATCCAGGATTCCTAACAAAAATAAATAGGCTGAAAAAGCCTATCTCAACAATATCGCAAAGGACAAAAATGAGACTTAATGAAATCCATCAACAACAGCACAAAATAGCATAAAAGCAACGAATGAAAACTCTGTTAAAACAAATACGTCTATGAAATCTATACCAACAACGTCTCTAAGCTACGACGACACCAATGATGTCTTCAAGCTACAATGACACCAATGATGTCTCCAAGCTACGAAGAAACCAACGACGTCTCCAAGCTATGACGACACCAAACGATATCTCTAAACAATAGCAACTTCCACAATAACTAAAACTAAAAGAAAATTAAAATAAAAAAAAATATGTATTAAAAAAAAAAAAAAAAGTGTATTAAAATAAATAAAAATAGCGATATGTAGTGTATTAATAATAAAAAAAAAAACTGATGATCATTAGTTGTATGTATAATTTATGAGTAATTTATACCAATTAAAATGTAACGTAGTTTTAAAAATTATACGTATGTAACTATGATCAAAGGAAAAACAATAAAAAAGAAGTTGCCACACATAACTATTTGTGTTATTTGAGTGTCACTATATATTAAATTAGATTGATTATAAAAAAAAAACTAACTTCTTCATTATTCTTTTATTTCAAAGCTTTTAAAAAACCGTTAAAGATTGTGGTGAACCAACATGAGAAAAAATGAAAGACATATAATGAGTCATTCAAAGTATGATTGTTGCCTGGCTATTTTATGAAACCTGTCAAATAAATATGAAAATTCGAACTTTAACATTAAGTATTTATTTAAATTTAAACATAATTGTGATAGCAAATCGACATGTTACTCAGAGCTATTAAATGGTTTATAATCTTAATAGAAAAACTAAAAATAGATAAACAAGTGACTCATATGTATCAAGTTGGAAGCAAGTTTGAAATTTTTGGATACATGGTTTTTAGCAAAGAACCCTTAGGTACTAATAAATTTCCTGAACTTGATGTAATTTCAATAGGCAAATTGTCTTTCTTTGGTTTGGTTGAGTTGTTTGATTAGGTTATTCTTGTTGGCTTCTAGGACTAAAATTCTTTGTTTTTGTTGTTCGTTTTTTCTTTTAAGGTTTTGTTTTCAGATTGGAGATCTTGGAGGAATTTAAGGGTGTTGGTTAGTCTTTTCCTGCTTTCTTTCAATTCTTTTTCGTGCTTATCTTTAAATTGCTAGTGAGTTAGGATTTGGATTTTGAGAGTAGTGATTTTATTTTGGCTAGTCTTTAATTGTTCCCAAGTTTGTTGTAAGGTGGTTTCGCTATTTTTAAGTTGATTTGAAATTGTTGGATGGTTTGGTTTTTTTCTGGTTGGCTGTGATTTGGTTAGCTAGTTTTTTGGAAATCTTTTTTACAAAATGCTGGTGTTTAACAAAACTTAACCCTATTAAAAATAAAACATCCAACCAAGAAACTGAACAAGGTTTAAAGAAAAATGATAGCTGTTATTGTAATAAAACAATTTGTAAAAGTAGGAGTTGTCTTGTCGTAAAAACAAATCTCTTTGTACTTTTCGTTGTGTTATATTCGCTGAGGTATATGCAAAAATTAAATAGCACTTAACAGTTGTTTAATTTTAATAATCATAATGGAAGCTAAATACAATAATTAATAAAAATAATTTGATTTGTGTTGAGAATTTTTTTTTTTAATCGATAAAATCATATTAATACCGATTAAAATATGAAGTACTTTAATTTACAATTTTGAAGCTACGTACATACATACGTAAGTCAATCGGAAATTTGAAAGTGGCGTCCAACAGCGATACTAGGTAGGTCTATATAGTGTGTTCAAGTCATGAGAGGTCAGTTAGCAAATTATTTCGAAATTTTTTACTTAATGTAAAAATGCCATAATATTATGCAAAACATTTCAAAATATTTCGAAAATATCTTACATAATATTTTATAATTTGATATTTCGCAATATTTCGAAATTTCTTATGTAATATTATAGCTATTTTATGTTTCGTAAATTATTACGAAATATTACAGTCTTATAAATTTGCTGATGTAGTTAGTAAATATTGTACAGTAGTATATAAGTGAGATATATATAATAAAAATAGGTTCAGATTTGGGAACCATCTAGTAAGTTTGTGTTGCAGAATAGTTAATAAAGAGGTAAAATCTCATATAGCAGGTTGCATATAGATACTCAAGTTAGTAATTAGATAAGCTAATACTGTATATATATTAGATAGTTGTAACTCTACTCGTGATATTTAAAACCAAAAATTACCTAAGTGTAAAATCTAATAAACAGTAGAGGCAAGATTGCCGAATTAAAAAAAAAAAAAAAATTGATTAATCTTAATTAACAAAACAAAAATAAGTAATCTTTTCTAAAATAAAATACCAAAGAGTATGATTTTTTGTCTTTTTATATGCTAAAACCAAAAATTTTAAAATAATAAAAAAATAACTTATCTTATTTGTCTATGAAATCAATACCCAGTATATATAAAACACTAAACCAAAGAATTTTAGACCAAAAATAACTTATCTTATTTATTTTATCTATGAAATCAATACACTATATATATAAAGTATTAAATCAAATAAAAGTATATATATGTTTTTTTTTTTTTTTTTTTTTTCCAAGTGGTCATACTACAACTTTATTATTTTAACATAGATAGAACAAATTTTTACATTTGAATATCTAATTACAGCTAAGCTGTTTTATACTAAAGTGTGATTCACCTGGTTTCCAATTGGACCTATGTGCAATCTGCCAGAGCAGAAGCAGCCTCCTTGCTTCTTCTAGATCTACCTCAGATTTCAGATCCACATATCACTAGTCAGGATCTACTAGCCCGTCATGACCACCTATCCCTTCTTATAAACTTCTTCCACCTAGATCCGGGCAGAATAGTTTATCTCTTACTTTTCTATAAAGGAAAAATATATGCCGAATTTACCAAAGAAAAACAAAATTTAGAAAAGAAAGAGACAAAAACAAAAAAAAAAAGAAACATATATTAAAAAGTATGTTCTAAATAAGATTCCATCGTAAAGGGAAAAAGATGGAAGAAGCACAAAAAGGGACAAGATATCATAACATACATAAAAGAAATACAAATGCACTATTATAACCCATACAAGGCTGATAAAAATTGTAGAACAACTGCAACCGTTGTATATCTCTAATATAATCTTTCCTTTCCAACTTAATATTCCTTATCGAATATCTCTTTAACCTGGGACCTGATCTTGTCACATGGAGTAGCTCCGTATTTTCAAATAAACAAACACGTGGTTGCAATCTACCAAGTTCGTCCGAAAATGAAAAGTAAACAATGCTGATCTTTTGGAGGAGGTAAGCCAAATCTTCACTTTTATGAAAAAATTTTGGAAGGTCGGCAGGAAAGTGGAAGTAAGTAAGTGAGGAGTCACTTGGCCGAAAAAAAAAAGAGTGTGGCTTGAGAAAATCAAGTTCTTTACTGTTCTCCAGTTATTTCGCAACAGGTTACTTCGTCGACAGAAAAAACTATAATCCCTACCGAAATTTCATATACAAGGGCACACATCCCCAGCCAGTTATTTTGTATAAAGACACTTTCGGCTTGCATGTCGAATATATAAAGGAGTCCCCACAAGTAAACGAAAGGTTGACCTTTATAAAAACCGTACTGTTGTCTACCTACTACAGGTCTTTTCCACTTCTCCAGTATCCAAACTTGACTTTTCTTTTATGAGAAATTTTGGTTCAAGTGATTGTCGGAAAGAGTTATAATACTATTAGTACATATATGTTTTGTTACAGACAAGACAAATATTATATATATAACCCAAAAAAATAAGAACCCACAAATATAGAAAAAATAAAAAAATAAAAACTCTTAAACAAAAATCAAAAAAAAATAAAAAATGATATACAATTTAAATACCGTATATACCTTCTATAACGAATATAAAACATTGTTAGATAAATTGTTCGAAGTTATATTACAACAATATTATAATATTAATAAACCTGACTTTGAATCATCTAATACAAACAATAATTATAATCATCATTCTCTTAAATACTAGAGATCTTCCTCCAAACTTTAAAGGTTATATGACAGATTTCAAAATGATATCTTAATGCAATGGTTCCAAATTGTCTATATATATTGTAGCAGACTTCTATACCCAAAAAAAGCTTTTTAAAAATTTTATAATTTGACAATTACTTACCCAATATAGCAACATATATCAAATGTTGTCTTATTATTCAATTCAAATATTAATCGTATTGCATGGCCCAGAATACCTGTCTGTAATACTTGCAAAAAACCATTAACAAGATTCTAATTTTCTCACCTTTAACCACTAGACAAAATCATATTAGTTCCCTTATATATAAGAAAAACTCTATCACCTATCCATTTGTATTATTCTTTGGAAAGAACCCCGAATAGTAACTCATATACCAAATACAGAAGCTTAACTAGTGCTATAGATTATTTGTGCAATATTAGAGCATATGCACTATATGCCAGATTACTAGATGCCTTTTGAATTAAAATAATAATAACAACAATCAAAATGACACCTACACTTTATAACTCAACTATACAACATATAGCAAATTGCCTTGTGAAAAACAACTTATATCTTCATCCTTTCGCAGCTCTAATACTACAACACGACCAAAACAGCCCCTTTCCAAGAGCAGAACACTCTCAAACCACTTAGAATCTACTATCTATTACTTCTAACAAAATAATTATACCAAACTACAATTTTTCTAAAAAAGTGTACAATAAAAACTTCTACTATACAAGGCTAATAGCAGGCTTTGTCTAGAAAAAAAATTCACTTCAACTACTAATTTCTATATACGATTCAAATCTAGAACCTTTTTTTTTCTAGACATATTTATGGATAGAAGAGGTTACTTTTATAATCTTCAAAATCAACTCATCTTAGATAACGAAACCTGCTTTGAAACCTATAGTAAATATATCAAACTAAGATTAATAAATATCAACCCAAGAAAAATACCTATACAAACAAACTCTTTCCGTCTATCACTCGTACACAAATTTTTCCCAGCTTAATTATTTCAAAATACCTTATAACTTTATTTTCTACTAAGTTAACCTTAGTTTTGCTACTAAATAAACT